ATATGCATCACATCGGAGCACGTTGAGAGACAACCTTCTCGTTTGACCGATTTGAACGTTTGTAACAAAATTCTCACGACCTCATTCTTATTGCTGGAGTTTAATGAGATTCCTTTGTGGCATGAAAATTTTCAACTTGAACAAAACTAAGCGTGCTCCAATGCTGTATACTTGCAGCTGTGCGGTGGGCGCCGGAACACGATACCTGAAATGACAGTATGGCACGGAACTAGCAAAAGTCAATATTTCAAAGAGATCGTCATCATTTTCTTTGACTGAATTTGGGAGTCGATATACGAGCAAGAACTTTATACGGAACATTGTATTGGGAAAGAATAACTCAATGCAGAGGAAAAATCATTGGGAATAACATACATGAACAGATTGTTTATGAAAATGAAAACAACAGACTCCTCCCTTTGTCTCTTACCCTGTTCATCCTGTGCAAACTAAAGGCAAATCGCCCACAAGCTCAGAGTTTCCAATTTTGGGGTTAAGCCATGTTTCAGTGAGGAAAATAATGTCAGGTTTCCTTTCGGCAATTAGCAAATGAAGATTCATGATTTGATTCAAGACTATGACATTAATTAGTAGTCAAGAAAGTGAAGCACGTTGACCTTGCGGGGCTATACGTTTACCTGTTTATTGTCGGGTGCATTGACCTGATCTATTCGGCAACTCAGAAATGTGCTTGAGCTCACCGCCATAAACAATCCATTCTCAGCACTTTTACCTTGGTTCCGTCAGAAAAACCGGAATGTTAAAGATTACGTGAATTGGCAAATGCCTCTCGCCAATGAAACCTAGTAGGAAGCTAATCGAGGTTTAGAGGGGTCAAAATACCCATGCGAAAAACTTCGCATGGTCTGCACTCCACGCCGAAAGCGTCTGAAACATCAGAAACTTTCTTTTCGAGCCCATACTGGCTTGCAGATGGCGACAAACTCACTTCGTTTCCCTTCACCTCCGCGACCATGATGCTGTGGGGACGCTTTTCCTGTTTTACGGAGAACCCCCAAGCATTCTAGTAATAATGTGATCCGCCAATATGGACTAATAATTAATATGGACTAATCATTACACCAAAATGAGACACGACCAAACGTACGAATAACAGACACCTACATAAAAAGGACCGCAAAAAGTGAAGCGACACTAAGTTCAGTAGGAGTGACCCGAAGGAAAAGAGAAATCTATGAAGAGGCAGCTGCGGCTATCTTC